TTCATTGGCTTGGCCACTAGAGGGCGACTGTGACACAGAGAAGAAGAGGAAATATGTGAGGTATTGTGCAGGTACCAACATGCTGAAGGTTACGACAGAAGAAGAAGAAGAAGAAGAAGGAGAAGGAGAAGAAGAAGAAGGAGAAGAAGAAGGAGAGAGAGGAGAAGGAGAAGAAGGAGAAGAAGGAGAAGGTTTGGTTTTCAAAATACCTTTTATTTTACCACTACCAGGAGAAAATTATAACACTGTCACATCATCACTCAGATCAAGAGAAGGAAATAAATAAATAAATAAAAAATAAAACATAAAACAAAACAAGTGCAACAAAAATCACAACATCAACAAAAACAACATTTACTGCATCAAAAATGAATAATCAGCTCTCCATCCCCACCCACAGAGCACAAAGCTTCTTCCACAGCCCATACACTATTAAAGTCTTGCACATTGTCCATCATTTGATAATAGGCAAATTCTACCTTTAGTCTGGCCTTCAAAAGTCCCTCCAGAACCAGCACCGGTTCCACACAGCCAGTACCCTGAGCTCGGTTCTTGCGTGTAAGCCAAATGGCCAACTTAGCAGAGCCAGATAAAAAGTTCATCAGTGTATGTACAGTCTTTTTCTTTGCAGAATACTTTGGCCCAAAAACAAACACTGCATAAGAGAAATCCTCCCCGAGAGCTTCAAACAAGCTTTTCATAAGGACAAACAAGAGTGAGAGCCTGGGACACTCAACAAACAGATGAGACAAAGTTTCAGTTAGTGAACAAAACAAACACTCCTCTCCCACCCCTGGATCAATGTGCGCTCTGTATCTGTTCGTGGCTATAACCCCATGCACAACTCTCCACTGGAGATCTGCTGTTCTCTTCTCAACAGGCAGCTTGTACAGGGACCGCCAGCTGCCTTTCGGGGAAACCTCCGGGCCAAAAAACTCGATCCACCTCGACTCTTTCACTCCCGACAGACCACGAAGATGTAGGACCTTAACACAGGACTGATAGAGTGCCTTTTTCCCTGCATCCTGGAACTTTCCCAGAACAGGAGTACTAAAGGACAGCAGTCCACCTCCTCTTTCCTGCCACTCCCCGACATCTGGGGTAACAGACAAAGATGGGAAGCTGTATTCGCCCTCTTCACTCCACTGCTCACACAGATTCTCAATGTTTAGAAATGTCACAAGTTTTACTGGAAGTGCAGCAAAGACTTCCTCCACCACTCTTTCAACCACCCGGCTGGAGGTGATATTGGTCCTTTCTTTGAGGGCGTCCAGGGTCAGTCTTACCAGGTGACCCAGTTTTGTGCAGCCTGCCTCTCTGAAACTGGCCCGGAGACTGGCTGACTGCAAAGTTGGAGTCCTTATAAAATCATTAAAAAATAACGGTTCCTCAAAGATCCACATTCCCAGACTCTCAGTTTTTTCCCTTTTGAATGTGTACATTTTCCATGCCTGCATTACAGACATATAAAAGGATGTTAATCCAGTGAGATCCACCTCCTCAAGCTTTAACAGAAAGAGCTGCTTAGTGTACCCCAGCCGTCCAGCTCTCCTCAGCAGCAGTCGAGCGATGTCCATCCAGCTGGGACCACAAGTGAAAAGGAGTCTCTGTGCAGTCTGGAGTCTGAATGAGGCAATTTTTGACTGAATGTCTATAAGTCCATGTCCCCCTTCAGCCACCGGCAGGTAGAGGACTGCCGCCTGGACCCAGTGTTTGCCTGACCAGAAGAAGTCCAGGATGGCCCTTTGAATGTCCTCCACCAGCCCTCTTGGAGGTGTCAAAGCCACAAGTCTGTGCCAGAGAGTCGAGGCAACCAAGTTATTGACCACCAGAACTCTTCCCCTATACGACAACTGGGGTAGCAACCATTTCCATTTAGACAACCGAGCGCACACTTTCTCCCTAACTCCCTCCCAGTTTTTACTTTTAAAGCCCTCGGTACCCAAATAAACCCCCAACACCTTCAACCCCTCCCTCCCCCACTCAAGTCCACCAGGCAGACTGGGCACTGCCTGGTCCCTCCACTCTCCCACCAATAAGGCACCACTTTTTTCCCAGTTCACCCGTGCAGCTGTTGCCCTTTCATACAGGGACAGGGTGTCCCGCAGACACCGAACGTCCCCCTGATTGGAGATGAAGATGTTTACATCATCAGCATAGGCAGAAATTGTAGGGGGACATTCAATGCTACAGGCCGCGGGCAAAGAAAGCCCGCTGAGCCGGTCCCTCAACCTGCACAGCAAGGGCTCAATAGCCAAGCTGTACAGCTGGCCGGAGATGGGACAACCTTGTCTGATCCCTCGCCGTACAGGGATTGGCCGACTCAACCCCGCCCCCATCTTCACCAAACACTGTGCATCCTGATACAACAAACCAACTAATGACACAAAACCATCCCCAAAACCAAAAGACCTCAGTGCAGAAAACAAATACGAGTGATCCACCCTGTCAAACGCCTTCTCTTGATCCAGAGACACAATGCCAACATTTAGATTATAGATTTTACACACATCAATGACATCTCTGATAAGAAAAACATTATCCATGATTGTCCGGTCTGGAACACAGTAACTCTGGTCTTTATGGACCACACTTCCCAGAACGTCCTTTAGTCTGTTCGATAAAGCTCTGGAGAGGATCTTGTAGTCCGCACAAAGCAAAGCAACCGGCCTCCAGTTTTTTAACAATGCCAGGTCACCTTTCTTGGGGAGCAAGGAAAGAACTGCTCTCTTACAAGAACCAGGAAGAGACCCGGTCCTGCAACACTCCATTAAAACACTATGCAGGTCAGACCCAAGGATATTCCAGAACCTCTTAAAAAAGTCTGTGGACAACCCATCTATTCCAGGTGCTCTTCCTGTTGCCATCTGAGTGACAGCAGCAGTGAGCTCCTCCAGAGACAGCTCCCCTTCCAGAAGAGACCTCTCCTCCACACTGAGCTGAGGGAGACCCTCCAGGAGCTCCCTGCGACACTCCTGGCTGCAACTCTCTGCTCCAAACAGATCCTCATAGAACTGCATGGCGTGACTGCTCATTTCCTTTGGATCAGCTGTTATTCGACCTCCTGGCAGTTTCAGACAAGTCAGCAGCTTTTTTTGAGCCACAGATCTCTCAAGATTGAAAAAGAAAGACGTTGGGGCATCCATGTCTTTGAGTTGAAGGAAACGACTCCGCACAAGAGCTCCCTTCACCCTCTCCTGCAGGAAAGAGCTCAACTCCATACGTTTCTCCTTCAGCAGGGTACCAGTGGTGGGATCCACACTCCCATTTAACCCCTCCTCAAGGTTCTTAATGTTGTCCTCAAGATTTTTAATGACTGTTTTTAATCTAGCAGAAGAGTGTGACGTGTACTGCTGACAAAAAACACGAATCTGAGCTTTACCAACCTCCCACCAAAGCTTCAAAGAATCAAACTCAACTTTTCTTAATTGCCACTGATCCCAAAAACACCCAAAGTTTTTACAGAAAACATTGTCCAGTAGAAGCTTGTTATTAAAATGCCAGAAGGACTTAGCCCTTTCACCTGGTGAAATAATCAGCTCCACACTAACAAAATGGTGATCAGTGAAGCCGACAGGCAGAATATTACAATGAATTAATCTGGGGTTGAGAGTTCTGGAGATGTAAACCCTGTCCAGTCTAGCTGCACACACCCTGTTACTGTTAACCCTGACCCATGTATACTGTCTGGATTGTGGATGTTTCACTCTAAATGTGTCCAACAAATCCAGGTGAGAGATGACAGTGTTTAAAGTCTGGGATGAATGTGGATGTGGCTCCTCTCCTATTCTATCCACGGTGAAATCAAGTGTGCAGTTAAAATCACCACCAAGAATGATCTGATCCTGATTATAGATCAGTAACTCCTTTTGGAGGCGGGTATAGAAAGCTACCCTTTCAGCTCCATTATTTGGAGCATAAATATTAGTGAAGCAGAAAACAGTGTCCTCTATTTCTGCTCTTACAATTAAAAGCCTTCCCTTTACAATTTCAGCACAAGAGACGATCTTTACATTTGCAGATGCTCTAAACAAAATGGCTACTCCTGCACTAAAGTTGGTGCCATGGCTAAGGTAGTTAGAGCCCTCCCACCATAAACCCCAATCTGTCTCATCTGATGGTGTGGTATGAGTCTCTTGTAAAAACAAGATATCAATGTTTTTCTGAGTTGAGATCTCAGAGATAAGGCCCCTTTTCTGTCTGTCTCTCCCACCATTAATGTTAAGAGATCCTATCTTAAGACTCCTCATAGAAAGATCAGAGAGAAAGAACAGACAAGTAGACACAAACAGGGAACAGTAGAAGAAGAAAAACACCTTGTGATGCATGATCATTTCTTTGTCTTCTTCACACTCTTACGTCCAACTTTCCTCAGTGCGGTGATGTGCTTTTTAAGACGGAACCGTTTTTTCGCGTCCAGGAGGTCAAACCCAACCTGTCTTTTCAGTATGCTGACTGACTTTATGAACTTTTCAGTATCACTAAAGTAGTCACTTATTTTTACTGATTTGTTGTACGTTTCATCCATAAATTGATTGATTGACTCTAAAGAATAAAGACCAGAGCCACTATTTGGCAAATCAGCAATGGATGCATTGTCTGACTCATAATCTTCATCCATGTCCTCTCCTTCACATGATGCCTGGCTACAACACACTGTCTTACCTTCCTTCAATGAAACATCTACAACTGCAGAACTTGTGGAATCTTCAGTTTTATCATTATCTACAGTCTGTGATTTTTCTGTAGCCTGAGAGCTGGTCGAAGCCACTTCTACCTCAGCCACGGCCTCAGCACAAGGCGCAGGCGCGGACGCGGCCCCCGCCCCGGGCACGGACGCGGACGCGGCCTTCCACCACATGCGCCATACTAACAGAGCTGCCCGCGTCAGCGGCAGCACTAGCCGCCTCCTGCTGTCTGTGCGGACACGCAAAACGTTTGTGTCCCACATCACCACACTCAAAACACTTCAGCTGTCCCGAGCTCGCATACACCATATAAGAAGCGTCACCGTGTTTCACTCTAAAGGAAACCTCCAGAGTCTGTGTGGGCGAATCCAAAAACATGAACACCTGACGCCGCAAAGATTGAACATGTTTCAGTTTGGGATCTTTACACCCTAGACTCACAGTTTTGAAACCACTCGCAAACTTCCCAAACCTGCGGAGTTCGTTCTCTAACAAGTCGTTAGAAATAAACGGCGGAACACCGGATACGGTGATCCGCGTAGAGGGAACCGACAACGGGGAAACCTGCACAAACAAATCCCTAATGAACACACCACTCTCAATCAGCTGATACACAAGAGGCTCACTCTTCAGAAAAACAACCACAGCCTTGTTCATTCGGGATGCATACAAAAAGTTTATCATGGCCTACCTGTTCACCTGCAGCTAACAGAACCTCCTCCACGGTGACAGTACCGTTCGGAGGGACTATCCGAACTCCCTGTCGGAGAGTCGGAGGTGGCGTCTCAGCAGACGCCATTCCTCCCTCCAACCCCTCCAACGATCTGTCTTACACAGCCAACAACACTCAATACAAATATGAAAACAATCTGACCTGATCGTGCACTTTGAAAACAGTAGAAAGGATAGCAAACAATTCAATCTCCGCGCCACTCGCAACACCACCACCGTCACTCACACTCACACTCACACTCACCGGAAACCGGAAACCGGAAACGGAAACGGAAACGGAGAGGAGAGGAGAGGAGAAGGAGAAGGAGAAGGAGAAGGAGAAGGAGAAGGAGAAGAAGAAGGAGGAGAAGGAGAAGGAGAAGGAGAAGGAGAAGGAGAAGAAGAAGAAGAAGGAGAAGGAGAAGAAGAAGAAGAAGGAGAAGAAGGAGAAGAAGAAGGAGAAGGAGGAGAAGGAGGAGAAGGAGAAGAAGAAGGAGAAGGAGAAGAAGGAGAAGAAGAAGGAGAGTTCTTTGAATAAGGACAGAAGGAAACATGCAGTTCAAATGTTGCCAACAATTTAGACAATTTACAGTTTCTGCAACATTTGTTAATTAAACACAAATATTGGACGGTGAGGACTTCTATTTGTGTTGCCATGGTAACAAACACTTTTCACTGTAATCATAACAAAGTTTAAGATTGTGGTATGATGAGGACTGTCACTCCTGACCTTCCTCAGCAGGGGGTGGGAGCTGCCGGTCTGGGGTCTCAGGTGGGGGCCGAGGGAGCAGCAGGGGCCGTAGCACTGGTCCTCGCTGCACAGGGACAGGTGGGACTGTGAGGACAGACATGAGACAGGGTTTAAAGAGTGCTGTGGTGTGAGTGGACAGACTCTGAGTGTTCTCACTCACACAGTGCAGAGACGACATGCTCTGCTCCATCTGCTCCCGGCTCCTCTCTCTCTCCTTCTCCAGCTCCCGGTGCTGCTGCTCCACGCTCGCCTGCAGCTCGGCGATACGTTTACGCAGACGGTTCTTATCCAGCAGACAGTCGGTGTACTCCAGCTGCAGGCTGTCCCGACTACGCAGAGCCTGGTGGGAGGAAAAGATTTTGGATGAGACACGTTTTAAAAACTTTTCATTTCATGAGCACAGGAGAGGAATTCATCAGAGAGCCTGCAGGAGGAAACATCGACAATGTTGTGATCTCGACCGTGTGAAGACGACAAGTTGCCGATAATGTTGTGCAGTTTAAACAAAGTGGAGGAGGAAACATTTCCACTAACTCAGACAGTGTGGAGGAGTTTGCCTGCAATTTTTGCAAGTTGAAAAATATTGTATTTGGCGCCTTCGACTTCTATTTTCGTTGTCATAATCAAATAAAAAGAAGTTGAGCACGAGGTCGCAGTCCCTTGTCTCTTCAGACCCCCCTTCCCCTCCACACCGACCTGGTCTCGCTCCTTCTCCAGCTCCATGATCTGGTTGAAGTAGGACAAGCTCCTCTTCTGCTCCGTCTCCCAGTCCAGCTGCAGAGTCCTCACCTTAAGCTGCAGCTGCTTGCACTGCGACTCCAGCTGCAGATAAAACATCAGAAGCTTCATGAAGAGGCTTCATCATCTTCATCAGCTGCTCACACACTGAGAGAAGAGAGAACAACATCTTCTCACCTTCAGTCTTTGCTCCTCCGTGCTCTCTAGCTCCCCCTGTAGTCGGGAGATGATATCACAGAGTTCGTGCCTCTGCTCCGCAGACTCCCTGCGGTCCTGCTGCAGGATGTCCATCAGAGCCTGAAGTCAACAACAGGAAGAACTTTTTTTTAGAATGTTAAAAACACGACTTTTGGAAAAAGGGAAATCAAATATGAGGAGAGGATTCTGAAGGTACCCGTACATACCGAGTCCCTCATGTGAGGTCCATCACTGTCGGCTTTCTGCACCGCAGTCCGGTGTAACGGTTTGTCTGGTAAAGCTGGAGGCGAGTCTTTGACCCCGTTGGAGGTCACAGCGTGTCTTTTTGCTGACGAGGTGTTTCCTGGAGCGTCGAGTGTTTCTGTTTCTGTCAGCCTCGACCGGAGCTCCTCCAGCTGAGACGAGCAGAGACGAGGAACCACATTTTAAAAATGAAAATGTTCTTCTGTTCAATAAATCAAACACAGTCTTTGTTACATCATATCTCTGCTCGCCCACCTGAGTCAGCATCTCTCTCTCCCGGCTCGAGGACTTCCCTTGTTCCTCCAGAGCTCTGGAGTATTTCACAGCCTGCTCCAGGTGTCGGTCCTTCAGGCGGCCCAGCTCCCGACTCGCTGACTCCCAGTCCTGACGCACCCTGAACATCACAAATCATCAGAAGGTTTCCACGTCAGCTTTAAACATTTTGGTGAAATATTTTGCCGTTTACCTTCAGGGCCACCGTAGAAAAGAGTATGATAAAACACACAGATCCTCACCTCTCCAGCTGCAGCCGGTCGTGACGGAGCTCCTGAGCTTTGCGTTCGGCCCGGCTGCGATCCTCCTCGGCCATCCTGCAGCGCTGAGACAAACGGCGCTCACACAGGCGGCTGCTCCGAAGCTGCTCTCTCAGTTTACGAACCTCCAGGAGGAGAAACTGGGTCAGACCCTCGGGACCCTCTTCGTCTGAGGAGGAGAGACATGTGGGGGGTGAAGGTCTGAAGACGTGAAACTGTCCCCCAATGGAGGAAGGGTCCGTGTTATAGAAACCAGAAGTTTGAACTTTGATATGATTCTATTTGTAATTTAATGGTTTATTTGAATCAGGGACAAAAACAAAACATTAGTGTCAGAAGAGAAGAGATGCTCTGTACCAGTTTCGCTAACTAGCTCATTTCCATCTGTTGCCCCCAGGAGCAGACGATGGATTATAAATGTCCTACACATCAGATCTTTGGTAACGTCTTGTTTTTTGTTTAATTGTACAAACACATCGGTGACGCTGGGACTCATCGAGGACATTGGCAACCATCGTTATGACTTGTGTGCTGGCGTGCGTCAGGATGTGGGGGAGGGGCCCAGATAAACCCTGGAGGCGGCCCCTGTGGGGGTTAACAGCATCTTACCCAGAATCAGGGAGCATCTCTGAGTGGGCTGCTCTCCAGTCAGCTGGGTGTACTGCTCCGGGTGATAAAACTCCAGAGACTCCATGAAGGCCTGAAGACCCCTCTGACCCTGACCACGCAGGATGTCCAGCAGACGACCTGCAGAGGAAAGACGCGTACAAAGCTATTTATAACTTATCATTTAGTATTTGCCTACCTGCACATAGCTCTGTATATATATATTTATTTCTTGTTTACTGCACATAGTTCTGTTTACATCTGTTTACATCTGTTTACATCTGTTTACATCTGTTTACATCTGTTTACATCCGTTAGTCCGATCACTGTCCACTTATATCTACTCATTTATATTTTGTATTTTAAGTTTAAGCTTTATATTTTAGGTTTAAAATGTTTTATTTAAACATGCACTGTTGTTAATTTACTGCTCTGTGTGCCTTTGAATCGCCCCCAGGGACAAATAAAGTTTTCTTTTAATTGAATTGAATTGAAAGACCCGTACAGATTAAACAACGTGGGACCATTAAAACAAAGCATGTCAGCACTTTGTCTCTTTCATTGGAGAAGTTATTTATTCCTGAAGTTATGTCAGACCTGACCAATGAGGCGCTGACGACTCACACACAATAAACCAGGATGATAAACTTTAACTCCTCATTCCTCACACGCTGCCTTGTACTTAACCCGTCTTTCATCTCGCTCTCCTCTGAGCTCTGCTTGTTTCTCTCTCTCTGCAGTGTTTATCTTGTCCCACCTGTTTCTCTCTGACAGCGTGCTCACACTCAGCCTTCTTTCCTGTCCTCTCTCTCACGGTTACACCTGATGATATGATGCTGTGTGTTTGTGTTCTCCTCTCACCGGCCTTGCTGATGCGCAGCGGGTACTGTGTGGAGTTGAGCACCTCGTCTTCATCCTGCTCATCCATCACCTTACACTGTCGTAGATACGGCGTGAGTTTAGCCGGGTGAAGGATGCGAGTGAGTTTGTGTCGTACGCCCTCCACTCGCTCCCACAGCTCCTCACATCGCTCCTCCGACCACTGGGCTGCAGACGGCGCCTCCTCCTGAGATAAGTCCTCCTCCTCCGCGTCCGCCTCCGCCTCCCAAACTCGGACGCCTGCAGGAGACAAGAAACCAGAAGAAGTTCAGGGAGAGTTCTGTATGGGACCCCTTTAGAACCATTAATAACTCCACACTCTCTCCTTCCATCATGCTACAAAAAAACAGAAACAAAAAGATTTCACAACAACAAAAACAAACAGAGAACAATGCGTGAAAATATTTAATGAAACACAAACAGTTTTAGGTGATGCATAAACACGTCACAGAACGGATCAAACGTAAAATATTTAGCGAAACGTAAAAGCATTTTACATTTCCAAAATATTTTCTGACGTGCAAAAAAACATTTCAGGAAATCAAAGAAGGACAAATCCTCCGTATGAAGCGCATATATGTTGTTTTTGTCCCTCAGGGCCCTCCATATAGAGCTCATATATGTTGTTTTTGTCCCTCAGGGCCCTCCATATAGAGCGCATATATGTTGTTTTTGTCCCTCAGGGCCCTCCATATAAAGCTCATATATGTTGTTTTTGTCCCTCAGGGCCCTCCATATAGAGCGCATATATGTTGTTTTTGTCCCTCAGGGCCCTCCATATAAAGCTCATATATGTTGTTTTTGTCCCTCAGGGCCCTCCATATAGAGCTCATATATGTTGTTTTTGTCCCTCAGGGCCCTCCATATAGAGCTCATATATGTTGTTTTTGTCCCTCAGGGCCCTCCATATAAGCTCATATATGTTGTTTTTGTCCCTCAGGGCCCTCCATATAGAGCGCATATATGTTGTTTTTGTCCCTCAGGGCCCTCCATATAAAGCTCATATATGTTGTTTTTGTCCCTCAGGGCCCTCCATATAAAGCTCATATATGTTGTTATCAGGGTCATAAAGCAGAGGGGGGGGTCAGTTTCTCACAGTGCAGGAATGAAAACACTTGTGTGACTCATATCAGACACCTAAACACACATCGGGGGTCTGCAGGCAGACGCTGTGTCATCCCCTCCTCGCTGTGAGAGAGGAAAGCTTCACCATGCACACAACGAGTTATTTAAAGGTGATTTACAGCAGCTGTGATGACAGCAGGATGATTTAATAATCCCTTAACGAGGAGGGAAAGAGCTGAACTCATCCATCCAATGACTCATTTATGTTCATAAGACAAATCTGTGATGTCTGATAATCACAGAAAGGGCATCTTCTTTATCTCTCTGAAACACAACAACGTACATCTGATCATCCTCCTCAACACATACAAAGGACGATGCGGGCAGAGCAAAAAAAATAGAAATCCTAGACTGTTTGTAGTTACCAAAAGTCGCAGGCAAGTTGCTGCACATTGTCTAGATTTCACAGATATGTGGGCAAGAGGAGAAGCTCGTGTGATTCAGACAAAGCTTCCTTATTTCTCTCGTAGCGTCTCAATCCAGTTCAGATCAACCCTGAATTTGAAATACACACACTCACAAATTATTTAATTTATTTACTATAGACTTTAATGCTTTTTTATTAATAATTAAAAGTTAGAAAAGGAAGTTGGACATTGTCAGGTATTCATGTGTTGGACAATCCTTCTGCAATGTGGACAGTCTTCTGTACTTTTCGAAGCTAAAGACTGAAATCAACAGAGATTATTTTGTAAAGATGTTGACAGACTCTTGAAGGACATCACTCTGGGCTTTTTTCTGAACATTAAAAACTTTAAATCAAACTTCTGATGTAAAAGAGAAAACAGCATCGTTTCTGTTTCCTATCTAATAACTAAGACGATAATGAGGGTGCTGCTGTGCTCGGCTGATAGTCGATCAGAGCTCCCGGGCAGGCTGGGGCAGGTCTGGATACTCAGGAATCTCTGACACAGAACAAAAATAGTCTGCTGAGACCTCACGCTCATGCTGTTAAAACCAAACGCCACCTTTTTACTCTGAAAACAGGAGAAAACACTCCCAGCCTCTCTCAGTCAGGAGCCACTGATTCATTCATTCATTCCATCGTCTGCACTGATCTGACTTTCAACCACAGCCTCCATTCACACGCTGATGGTAGAGGCCGCTGAGTAAAGAGTCCGTCGGTATTAACTCATCCGTTCATACACGTTCACACGCTGATGGTAGAGGCCGCTGAGTAAAGAGTCCGTCGGTATTAACTCATCCATTCACACACACTCACACGCTGATGGTAGAGGCCGCTGAGTAAAGAGTCCGTCAGTATTAACTCATCCATTCACACACACTCACACGCTGATGGTAGAGGCCGCTGAGTAAAGAGTCCGTCAGTATTAACTCATCCATTCACACACACTCACACGCTGATGGTAGAGGCCGCTGAGTAAAGAGTCCGTCAGTATTAACTCATCCATTCACACACATTGACACGCTGATGGTAGAGGCCGCTGAGTAAAGAGTCCGTCAGTATTAACTCATCCATTCACACACATTCACACGCTGATGGTAGAGGCCGCTGAGTAAAGAGTCCGTCAGTATTAACTCATCCATTCACACACACTCACACGCTGATGGTAGAGGCCGCTGAGTAAAGAGTCCGTCAGTATTAACTCATCCATTCACACACACTCACACGCTGATGGTAGAGGCCGCTGAGTAGAGTCCATCAGTATTAACTCATCCATTCACACACATCACACACATTTACACGCTGGTGGTAGAGGCCGCTGAGTAAAGAGTCCGTCAGTATTAACTCATCCATTCACACACACTCACACGCTGATGGTAGAGGCCGCTGAGTAAAGAGTCCGTCAGTATTAACTCATCCATTCACACACACTCACACGCTGATGGTAGAGGCCGCTGAGTAGAGTCCATCAGTATTAACTCATCCATTCACACACATCACACACATTGACACGCTGGTGGTAGAGGCCGCTGAGTAAAGAGTCCGTCAGTATTAACTCATCCATTCACACACCTTCACACGCTGATGGTAGAGGCCGCTGAGTAAAGAGTCCGTCAGTATTAACTCATCCATTCACACACACTCACACGCTGATGGTAGAGGCCGCTGAGTAAAGAGTCCGTCAGTATTAACTCATCCATTCACACACACTCACACGCTGATGGTAGAGGCCGCTGAGTAAAGAGTCCGTCAGTATTAACTCATCCATTCACACACGCTGATGGTAGAGGCCGCTGAGTAAAGAGTCCGTCAGTATTAACTCATCCATTCACACACACTCACACGCTGATGGTAGAGGCCGCTGAGTAAAGAGTCCGTCAGTATTAACTCATCCATTCACACACGTTCACACGCTGATGGTAGAGGCCGCTGAGTAAAGAGTCCGTCAGTATTAACTCATCCATTCACACACACTCACACGCTGATGGTAGAGGCCGCTGAGTAAAGAGTCCGTCAGTATTAACTCATCCATTCACACACATTGACACGCTGATGGTAGAGGCCGCTGAGTAAAGAGTCCGTCAGTATTAACTCATCCATTCACACACACTCACACGCTGATGTAGAGGCCGCTGAGTAAAGAGTCCGTCAGTATTAACTCATCCATTCACACACACTCACACGCTGATGGTAGAGGCCGCTGAGTAGAGTCCATCAGTATTAACTCATCCATTCACACACATCACACACATTGACACGCTGGTGGTAGAGGCCGCTGAGTAAAGAGTCCGTCAGTATTAACTCATCCATTCACACACATTGACACGCTGATGTAGAGGCTGCTGAGTAAAGAGTCCGTCAGTATTAACTCATCCATTCACACACACTCACACGCTGATGGTAGAGGCCGCTGAGTAAAGACTCCGTCAGTATTAACTCATCCATTCACACACACTCACACACTGATGGTAGAGGCCGCTGAGTAAAGAGTCCGTCAGTATTAACTCATCCATTCACACACCTTCACACGCTGATGGTAGAGGCCGCTGAGTAAAGAGTCCGTCAGTATTAACTCATCCATTCACACACACTCACACGCTGATGGTAGAGGCCGCTGAGTAAAGAGTCCGTCAGTATTAACTCATCCATTCACACACACTCACACGCTGATGGTAGAGGCCGCTGAGTAAAGAGTCCATCAGTATTAACTCATCCATTCACACACACTCACACGCTGATGGTAGAGGCCGCTGAGTAAAGAGTCCATCAGTATTAACTCATCCATTCACACACGTTCACACGCTGATGGTAGAGGCCGCTGAGTAAAGAGTCCGTCAGTATTAAGTCATCCATTCACACACACTCACACGCTGATGGTAGAGGCCGCTGTGTAAAGAGTCCATCAGTATTAACTCATCCATTCATACACATTCACACTCTGATGGTAGAGGCCGCTGAGTAAAGAGTCCGTCAGTATTAACTCATCCATTCACACCACTGATGGTAGAGGCCGCTGAGTAAAGAGTCCGTCAGTATTAACTCATCCATTCACACGCTGATGGTAGAGGCCGCTGTGTAAAGAGTCCATCAGTATTAACTCATCCATTCATACACATTCACACCCTGATGGTAGAGGCCGCTGAGTAAAGAGTCCGTCAGTATTAACTCATCCATTCACACACTGATGGTAGAGGCCGCTGAGTAAAGAGTCCGTCAGTATTAACTCATCCATTCACACGCTGATGGTAGAGGCCGCTGAGTAAAGAGTCCGTCAGTATTAACTCATCCATTCACATTCTGATGGTAGAGGCCGCTGAGTAAAGAGTCCGTCAGTATTAACTCATCCATTCACACGCTGATGGTAGAGGCCGCTGAGTAAAGAGTCCGTCAGTATTAACTCATCCATTCACACACTGATGGTAGAGGCCGCTGTGTAAAGAGTCCATCAGTATTAACTCATCCATTCATACACATTCACACCCTGATGGTAGAGGCCGCTGAGTAAAGAGTCCGTCAGTATTAACTCATCCATTCACACACGTTCACACCCTGATGGTAGAGGCCGCTGTGTAAAGAGTCCATCAGTATTAACTCATCCATTCATACACATTCACACCCTGATGGTAGAGGCCGCTGAGTAAAGAGTCCGTCAGTATTAACTCATCCATTCACACACGTTCACACCCTGATGGTAGAGGCCGCTGAGTAAAGAGTCCGTCAGTATTAACTCATCCATTCACACACGTTCACACCCTGATGGTAGAGGCCGCTGAGTAAAGAGTCCGTCAGTATTAACTCATCCATTCACACACGTTCACACCCTGATGGTAGAGGCCGCTGAGTAAAGAGTCCGTCAGTATTAACTCATCCATTCACACGCTGATGGTAGAGGCCGCTGTGTAAAGAGTCCATCAGTATTAACTCATCCATTCATACACATTCACACCCTGATGGTAGAGGCCGCTGAGTAAAGAGTCCGTCAGTATTAACTCATCATCAGACTTGTGGCTGCTGGGGATCGAGAGAGACGGCCGACTCTACCACCTGCCCCTCAGGCACCGCCTCAGAAGTCAAATAGCCAATCTTTATTTACTCTAAGATTTCAAGGGGGGTCCATGTCACGCTGATAAAATGAATCTTATAAAACAGATCGTGAGAACAGTCCACAGTGGACGCAGACTGGATCCACTCGGGACTATTTTATGAAACATGAATCCAGACCTCAAACACCTGTATTATTCTTCCGCTCTGCAGGTTGCTCCTGACTAACACAGTGACTGATTAACGTCCTAAAGTAGGTCAAAAGTTCCTCACACTCAAATGAAACCTCGCTAACAGAGCAGAGTTTACTGATCAGAGATCAAATATGGACTCACCACTCATGACGTCCTCCGATCTGTTCTTCAGTAACACTTCAGAGTCCTCTACATCCCACCAGCTCAGGAGTCAACCGCAGTGAGAGAGAGAGAGAGAGAGAGAGAGAGAGAGAGAGAGGAGAGAGAGCAACACCTGACAGCACTCTCAACTCCTCCTCCGCCGAAACAACACCAGCCAATCAGAGAAGAGCAAACACAGAGACACACGTATGTAGGAGGCAGTAAGTGGTATGTGGTTTCGGACAGTCAGAAAAAGCCTCTCTCTCTCTCTCTCTCTCTCTCTCCTCTCTCTCTCTCTCTCTCTCTCTCTCTCTCTCTCTCTCTCACATGACAGCGGATTTCCTCTTACACTATTTTCTTCATGCCCATATATAAACGACCCTCACCTATAGGGTCAGTAAATGGCGGTGGTTGAGCAGTAGAGGGCGCTGTAAACCAACGATTGTCCTCTCAGAAGTCTCAGCATTAAATCGGTTATTCTCTGATAAACTGATAAGTGTTGTGAGGAGTTAGACACACACAGTGTCCTCCTGCTCAGTGACCTCTTATATTATTTATGTGACAGACTTTTAGAGAGTCATGTTCCAGGTGTTGACCCTCGTGCTGCTCAGTGATTGGAGGGAAACGTGAGGGCTTCATGAACACACAGTTTCATCTCCTCTGTTTGATGGTTTAAATAGTTCTGACACTCCTCTGAGAGAATGTTTTCACTGCAGCATGACGTCATGACGTAACTGAGTGAATCATGAGCAGGGCCGTCTCCACGATTATCCGGGCCCCATGGGCAGGTCTCACATTAGGCCCCTCCCCCACAGCCTGAGATATGCCACACCTCCATGACACTAAGGA